TATATACATATATATATATATATATTACACAACGTGTGTTAAAAATTATATCCGTCTGCGTCGGAAAATCGCGCGTCGTTGTGCAATCGACGAGCCTTCCTTGTAATTCCCGCACGCGGGAGGATAACGAGGATACAATTAACGCTCCTGTGTTTTCGAAACGCTGATATAGAGGAAAAAAAAAAGAAAGGCTTCAATCGCCCAAGTGGCTATTGTATTGTTCGTAGAGTCCCGGCGAGGCGAGGAACGAGCGATCCCGCCTTACAATTTCGTTTCTCACGATGATATATTTTTGTTATTGGATGTAGATTAATAAAATCGACAGTGTGAGTCCACCAGGCTCGGGTGTTTTCATATGTGCATTTCGCATTCCTCCCTCGGCCGTCCCTCCATTCCCTCCGCCGCGGCGGCGCGTCGTCGAGCGATTCTCGAGAAATCATTTTATGTGCTTCCTTTAAGTGTATATTTAAGTGCATTTTTTTTTTAATTGCGCTGATTCTGATAAAAGTCAAATTTCTTGCGAGCGAACGAGGACGTGAAGAGGCGATTTGTTCTTTGGCGAATCAATAAAAAGCGATAAATCTTTTTTTTTTTTCGTTTGTATAAAATTGCTTTTGTATCATTTGTGTTTTCGAAATCAAATTGCTGTCGGAAATTTATTCATGTCGTGCTGTGTAAACAAAATTATATCACGTCTTATCATACGTTTTTATCATCGACGTTATGTCAGGAATGTTCTTTCTCTGCGATACCGACAGACGTTATGGAATCTCGGAGATCGTCGTTCGAAAGCAGACAACAGATGGTGACTGCAGTATTTGCAGTGAGCAGGGTGAACTCGGCAGTCGGCCGGCTCGGCCCAAGAGTTTCGATTGTGATTGTGATTCATTTTCAGAGACGATTTGCCGCGCGAGACGACGAATGTTTATTGCGAGCGTAAAGAGCGTCTATCAAGCCGACCAGGCGATTCGACGAAATCGCGAGAATGCGAAAATGGCAGCGTCCATCGAAATTTCACGATCGCGCACTTGATATTCGTTGCGCCCAAACCGTTTCTCGTAAGTGAACGAAGGATGGCAGTCCCACTTGACGCTATATACAAATGCTTCGATGCATTTGATCGATCAATCAGAAGAAAGAATTTTTACTAATTGATCGATCGAAAACTGCTCCGAAGCGTTTGCAGCATCAAGCGGACCGTAGCCGAAGATCTCATTTTTTTAACCTTGTTATCGGCTAATCTAACGTGGGAAAGAATTTTATTGATTTTTTATTTATTTAATTATTTTATTATTTGGAGGGATTTCTGTGGAGATTCCAAAGATAGATTTGCCGGTTATAATCGCTTTCAGATTCCGCTTGAGGAATTATAAATGTGATAATTAAACTGCTGCAACTCATTATGTCGAGTCTAATATAGGATCGATAATGAATTAAAAGAAAGGCGCCTTTGCGTTTAAGAGATTTATGATTTATGCTTATACTCTCTCTCTCTCGCGAAATAATTTTTTCCTGCGTAAATGAATTATATTGCGAGGTTTATGTTTACACGCGTAATACGGACGTAATGTAGACGCGATCTCCGGGGCAGAGGGTCTTTCCTTTGCAAAAAGGCGACGGAATGGAAAGCCGGGATGAGCACCTCCTCTTAATCTACGGCAACGCTTTGAATTACACGTTTTCTCCGCTAAAATGTTTAGCGTGTCTACAAAAACTTATCGGAAATAAGTTTTTTATCGTTAACATCGTTTGACGAGAAAACACGCTGAAGCAATAAAGCTTCTTTCCCGTCTGTCGCTTTTTTATCGCGTAATGTAGATCATTCACCGTTTCATCGTGTAAAACGCGATGATTTTACTAAACGCTGAAAAATTAACGAGAGATTAACATCGACTGTTCAGATAATTGTAGCAGAATTATGATTAATTGTTTCGCCGAGCGAAAAAGTCACTCGCTATCTGTTTGCGTCTCTTTTTAACCTGGAGAATAATCACCTGGGTTTTTTTTTGCATAAAAACGATCATCTAGAGTGTTTTGTTACATCAATTAAAAGTCGCTGTTATTAACTATACATACTGTATATTATCAATTTTTCTATAATTTATTTGTATTTGAGATCATTATATAATATAGATTTACTCACTATTTTTTTAAAGTAAGAATAAATGAAAAAATGGATATCGATTTTTGATTATTAAAAAAAAAGACAGCTCTATTTTCTGGCTGCTGGAGTGTAAAAATTATCCCAGGTGATTCATCCAGGTTAAAGGCGCTAAAAATTTTATAGGTCCGATATTCCGATTTGATTGACATTAAACTCGTGTCTTTATCGAGTTTATTTAAATTTATCTGAGATATGCCTGTACGCCTTTGATTTCTTTGATACGTGTAACGCTTGTTTAACGTTCTCCCCGAAGAAAAGGGAGAAAAGCGGGAAGAATTCGACTCGGCTTCCCTAATTGCGAACGGTATGCGAATCTCCGGCGCTCTCGGGATCGAAAGTCTCCGAACGGAAAGGGACGAGTGCCAGCGAAAGGGACATCCGCGGGATCGGATTTGTCCAATTGACGGAACGGAATTTCGTGCGCGACGAGCACGAGCACCAGCGGCGACGTCGTGTTTACGTCACTCGTTTGGGGCGAGGCGCGACTTTGTCGCGCGCGATAGCCGGGGGGGGGGGGGATGACGCGGAGGGAGGGAAAAGAGCTTGGCCGAGCTCTCTCTCGGATTCGCGATAGTTAACTAGAACAGCAAGTTAATCCCGACGAGCATGGCGAATTAGCATATAAATTCGCCGAAATTGTCCCTACATACGTACCTATCCGGGGGCGGCCGCCGCGGCCACCGCCGCAAGTATCGCGCGGGGGGGTCGCTTTGAGTCGCGAGACGCGTGTGGCTTCTCCCGCTTTGTGAATACGATTCATCGGCCTGCCTTTGTGGTGCCGTGTCTCTTCGCCGCGACGGAGATGGGTATTCGGGCGATACGTATTACGCGTATATTTCCATACAGCGGGGGCAAACGGCGGTCTCTGCCCCTCCCCCCCCCCGATCTCTTTGCCCAAATCGGTCGCCGCGTAATCGAGAGGGGCCAGCGCGGCGACCGCGAATGTTTCACGCCACGTTTCGGATCGCAACGCTATTACGCGTAATCAGGAAATGTGGTTCCGCGTCGCGTTTACAAAATGAAATATCGCGCCTATTCGACGCGATATAGAATGTCGGGCGATACCCAGTTTAAACGAAATCCCTTCCCCTCCCGCCGTTCACGCTTTGACATTGTAAAGCAATCGCTGAATTACACGTTCACCATTGTGTACACCCTTTCAGATGTTTTACGGGGGATTCGATTAAAACCAGAGTATAAATTTCGCAATACCGGATGGGCAATAAAAAAAAAAATATTACCACTCACGGTCGACATCGCGCAATTAAATTCCGAGCGGCCCGATCGTTTAGATTACTGAAGTCTAATATGTTTATTGAAGTCTGACAAATCTATCGGAATCTACGGCGCGGATGGTGGAAAATTGGATGAAATTCGAAAAACGAATCGAATATAGCTCGAACCTCATTGTCACGTTTATCTCTCGCGCCGTTCATCACGCGCGTGTCGCGCGTGTACGAAAATCTTACACTCGAATTTCTCGGCTTGGTCTTCTCAGTTTAGCGTTTAAAATCTCGTTGCAGCGCGTGCTGTGGCTCCTGATGCTCTGGATAATGGGCGCCCTGGTATTCTTGCGGTACGCATGGACTCGCGTGACCGAATTGTTCGTCCACGGCTTCCAACGGAGACCGGACGACGGCGGCGGCGGCGGCGATGGTCGACGAATCTAATTACGAGCGAAGGTGGGTTTGGACGACCAGAAGTCCTAATTAAATGGTCGCCCGTGTGTGTGTGTTTACGCTACTTTCAGAAAACCGCGAACGAGAGGCGAGCGACGCGCCGCGCCGGCGGGGGGTGAACGAAAAAAAGGAAATCCCAGGAACGACGTTGTCACGCAGGGCGTTCGCACCACGGATTCGCGTTTCGAGATTTAAGCCCTCCCGGCATGGGGGCTTAAACGCGCGGCAAAATGGTGCTTAAATTTCCCGTGAAAAAATATACAGGGGATGTT